TGCATGTTTAGTCCAATACTATATCAAAAGAATTTTTGCATTGGTTTTGAATTTTATTTTTTCGAGAAAGTGTTGCCAATCAAACAACTCAAAAAACAAGAGCAAGTTGAGACTTCAACAAATGTATAGAAGTGATTGTATAAAACAGGTTGGTCCTACTTGCTAATGAATTTTGGAATATGTTAGTACTTTCATTCGGAGACTTGATTTCTTATCTGGCACCAAGGCTAGGTGATCTGTAGTCTTCAACAAATCTCACTCACTAAAATCTTAACTTTTTACTGGATATCCTCACTCTGAATTCTCATATATTTCATAAAATATATATCCATATATTCCAGAAAATATATTCATATATTCCAGAGCAGCAGTTGTAGGACATGTTGGCAGGAGGGTGACAAAGTTGTGACTTTGAATGTCACTTCTTGGACCTGGGCACTTATACACCGTTAACGTTGGTCATGTCATCCACATGTCACATAAAAACAGGTCACCTGCCAACTTTAAAGAAATAGAAAAGATCAACATAGTTAGACATATGTATTACTTGTGATTTTACAACTAGAAGTGTGGTAACATTTGTGCCTTGGGATTCAGGTAATCGTGTTGACTCTTTAAAGCTATTACTCATATTCCCTTACCAAAGGTCACTCTGCAGATAACTCAGAGAACTGCTTTAGAGGTAGACAGTGTCTGGGCTGAGGAAAACTGCCTTAATTAAAAATAATTGATATCCGTTTCACAATCTGTCTCAAAATTGTTGCCATCTGGCTAGCAAACTTGCCAGCTAACCGATCTATTCATAGTCATTTGTTTTAAACAAAAACATACATTGATTGTCACCACAAAATAGCAAGCTAACTTAATGAAAAATGTCATCAGAAAACAGCAATGGTGTTATGCAAGATATAATATATTTCTAAAAATCAAACCTCAACTGGAATGGCTTTAACAAAATATTTACTAAGATTCCCTTATTTTCCGTGCTTCTGTTTAGAACCGTATGCAGACTATTATGAATCAATCTTAGCTTTTCTTCCCTTGTGTATGTGTGTTTATGGTTGAGTGAATTAAAAACAATAAATTGCTTTATGCATTTTGGAATGTTCAAGATTATTCCTCTAAGATGCTGAAAAAGCATTAAAAATAAAAATAAATCATGTGGCAAAAATCCCCAGTGTATTTCATCTCTAATTAGAGTCCGTGTTTCCCACTAAAAGAATCCCCAGAATTTGAAAAACATTCGTTTTAAAGAAAGTTTATAAAGTAACTGCCCTGCAGTGGTGAGACAAAGGGAGCATCTTAAGAAGATTCTTCCCTTGCCTCAAAAAGTAACATACATGACTTTGACATAAATTATTTTCAGGTGTTTCTGACAAGTATTACAACACTTCTAAAATAATGGTCATATTTTCTCTTGTTCTGTGACTTGTATTTCACCTTGATGTAATGGTGTAATGAAGACTGATACCCTGAGGAAGAGGAGACACTGAGATTTTTCTTGCTGCGGTTTTTGTGTTGTTTGATTTGCTCATTTTTAGAAAAACGTTTCCATTCCACTTCTGAACAAAAGTAGTTGAATGCAAAAACATCCATACTCTGAGAAAAGAATCCTCGACATTACTTAATATCTGATCCCCCAGAATAATCTTCTACTGAAATTGCTTTTATGGGAATAGATGACATTGAAGCAAGCAAGCAACCAACTTCAATTTAGGTGAGCTAAATATTTGTATGGCTATTTTGATATTCAATATTTTATTGACAAACACAACAGGAAAATTTGGAAACTACTAGAATGCTTTTTGCTATTCGTAATTGAGAAGCCTAAGAATTGTTTATTCTGGAAACACAAAACAAACTATGCTACCTAATAAATGAAACATAATTACAGATCAACCTGTGTCCTCAAAAGTTTAGAATCATAAAGTCTATAATATGGAAGGAAATTGACCAATTATCTCCAGCCTCCTGTCAGATTGGAATTCCACTTACAACATCCTAATTATATTTTCCCAGGTCCCTCAATATGGAAATACCATTAATTGCCAAAGCATCTCATTTTAGATTTTTAGCTTAATCTTCCCTTAAAACTTTTACCTAGTAATCCAAATTCTATTTTTAATATCTACCATATTATTTATTTATTTATTTATTTATTATTTAATTTTAGGTGCATACTATATCTAGCATTGCTCCCCATGTTATCCCTCCCCACTCTCCCCACCTTCTGCTGTCTCTCCCCTACCCACTTCAACTGTCCCCAATGTATGATGCTCCTCTCCCTGAATCCATGTGTTCTCATTGTTCAACATTCACCTATGAGTGAGAACTTGTGGTGTTTGGCTTTCTGTTTTTGTGTCAGTTTGCTGAGAATGATGGTTTCCAGATTCATCCAAGTCCCTACAAAGGACACGAATTCATCATTTTTTAAGGCTGCATAGTATTCCATGGTGTACATGTACCACATTTTCTTTGTCTAGTCTATCATTGATGGGCATTTGGGTTGGTTCCAGGTCTTTACTATTGTACACAGGACTGCAATGAATATATGTGTTCATATGTCTTTATAATAGAATGATTTATAGTTCTTTGGGCATATATCCAGTAATGGGATTGCTGGGTCAAATGGAATTTCTATTTCTAGATCTTTGAGGAATTGCCACACTGTCTTCCACAATGGTTGAAATAATCTACACTCCCACTAACTGTGTAAGAGTGTTCCTATTTCTCCACATCCTGTCCAGCATCTGTTGTCTCCAGATTTTTTAATGATCACCATTCTAACTGGTGTGAGATGGTATATCAGTGTGGTTTTGATTTGCATTTCTCTAATGACCACTGATGATGAGCATTTTTTCATATGTTTGTTGGCTTCAAATATGTCTTCTTTTGAAAAGTGTCTGTTCACCCACTTTTGAATAGGGTTGTTTGTTTTTTTCTTGTATATCTGTTTTTGTTCTTTGTAGATTCTGGATATTAGCCCTTTGTCAGATGGGTATTTTGCAAAATTTTTTTTCCCATTCCATTGGTTGCCAGTTCACTCTAATGATGGTTTCTTTTGCTGTACAGAAGCTCTGAATTTTAATTAGATCCCATTTGTCTATCTTTGCTTTTATTGCCATTGTTTTTGGTGTTTTAGTCATGAAGTCCTTGCCTATGCTGTCCTGGATGGTTTTGCCTATGTTTTCTTCTAGTATTTTTATGGTGTTAGGTTTTATGTTTAAATCTTTAATCTTTCTGGAGTTAATTTTAGTGTAAGGTGACAAGTAGGGGTCCAGTTTCTGCTTTCTGCACATGGCTAGCCAGTTTTCCCAACACCATTTATTAAACATGGAGTCCTTTCCCCATTGCTTGTTTTTGTCAAGTTTGTGAAAGATCAGATGGTTGTAGATGTGCAGTGTTGCTTCTGGGGCCTCTGTTCTGTTCCATTGGTCTATATCTCTGTTTTGGTACCAGTACCATGCTGTTTTGATTACTGTAGCCTTGTAGTATAGTTTGAAGTCCAGTAGTGTGATGTCTCCTCTTTTTTCTTTTTGCTTAGGATTGTCTTGGCTATGCAGGCTCTCTTGTGGTTTCACATGAAGTTTAAAGTGTTTTTTTCCAGTTCTGTGAAGAAGGTCATTGGTAGCTTGATGGGGATAGCATTGAATCTATAGATTACTTTGGGCAGTATGGCCATTTTCAAGATATTAATTCTTCCTAACCACGAGCATGGAATGTTTTTCCATCTGTTTGTGTCCTCTCTTATTTCCTTGAGCAGTGGTTTGTAGTTCTGTCTCAGCTTGCTTCCACTATAGAATGTATCAGTTCTGAAGGTAGATGTGTTGAGGTTTGCCCATTCTCACAGATTAAGTCATTTCCAGTGTCCATGCCCTCTCTCTGTTTACAGTTTGCTCTGATGAACTCTCTGAGAGAGTCCAGAAAAATCCTCATTACTCTAGTACTCTAGGCAGAATATATGTCATTTGATACATCAGAGGTCACAAAGGCATTCATTCTCAATTATACATTATCATCATATATCCTTCCTGTACCTTTATTTCAATTTATAAAGTCATTTGTTACTATGAATTCTTCAAATATTTTATCTTTCTGTGAAGACTACATGGGATAGACATTTTCTCCATTTCTTGCTTTTCTTTTCCCTTTGTAGTAAAAATGTCACTCTCTGAGAGAAAAGAAAGGAAAAGATTAAAGACATATTTTATATTTAGTGCTTATTATTTTGCTCTCAGTAACATCAATACCACAAAAAATTAAATATACCTTATGGGGATAAATGGTTTTTGATAATCAAACTTATTGATGACTTCTATCAAGAAGCAAATCAACCTCTGACTAAGAGATTTCTTTAGTATATTTACAATGTAAACTTCAAAGCACTTCTGCAAAAATTCAACCCTTCATTCTTAAACCCTCATGCCCACAAGAGTGACTTGACTACTTGTGTTATAAGAACTCTAAACCCAAATATGTTAGGCACTCATTTAGCAATTCTACCAATAAGTATTTTTATTGGGTTATTTATTCTAAAGGCTTACAAGATATGAAAGAAGGAAGAGATACTGAAATTTTTTCTATTCTCAGTTGAATTTATAACGTTGGAGAAAGATAAATGTCTCTTCCAGACTACAAAGTATTTTTTAGATCTTTACACACCTCAGAACTCTCCCTGTGTTACTCATTTGATCCAATATCTAGAAAGACAGAATGAATGAAGCATCAATCTTATAGGTACAATTATGGTGGTTTTCATTCTACCCAAGCAAAATGAATGAGAAATGATGTTTTGTTTCATGAACAATTGCTTTGGAAAATCAATGAAATTCTTTCATGTAGAAGTCTGCATTCATAAAAAAAGTTCTTTTAATATTAATGTATTTCATTTTGAATGGAGTGTAATTAAATGTTCTCATTAAAATGGGCACTTGTGACTACACTCACTGCTAGAGTATATAAGTATCCAGTATAGAAGGGAACATTCACACACTCACACACTCCTCACTGCAACTCAGCTGAACTCGGAACTCCTGGTAACATGTCTTACAACTGCGGCTCTGGAAACGTCTCCTCCTGCTGTTTTGGAGGTTACCTGGGATGTCCAGTTTCCACTTATAATTCGTTCTACACCACCAATGCCATCTCTTCTCCAAACACCTGCCAACTGGGCTCCTCTCTTTACAATGGCTGTCAGAAGACCTATTGTGAGCCCACCAGCTGCCAGACATCCTTCAATTTGGCCAGATCCTATCAGACATCCTGCTACTGCCCAAGGAATTCCATCTTCTGCAGCCCCTGCCAGACTAACTACATAGGATCCCTTGGATGTGGAAACCAAATGTGAATTAATATGTCAGACCCTATATAGGACCCACTGAATGAAAATATACCCCTACTACTGAATAAGAGAGAAAATCAAGAATCATTAAATGGTCATCTTTGATTTTAACTGATGCATTAAGCAGACAGGACTCAAGGCACAATTAGAAACTACTTCATTGTTTTTAACACCATTGAACTTCACACTTCAATGTGGGGCTCTAGCTTCCCTGAATCCCTGAACAATACAATAGATAGATCTATGATCACATTAAGTTATCAAGAATTATTTTCATTTCACATTAGCAGTTCAAAGCTGCATAATTTAAAAACCAGTCTTACAGCGACAGTCAAAGCTGCTCCCTTTCCCCTTAGTTGAGGCCTGTCATGTGTTTCTAGAGGACACCAGTGGTTTAAAGAAGGTTGCTTTTTTTTTTAATTTCCATATTCCACCTTGTCTTCCAACGGTGTACTTCTCCTTGCTTCTGTTTGATTCAAGAAGATACAATGGGAGGAAAGAAAATGATGACAGGGACATTTGCCTCAACACGGTGCTTTAGATCACCTGTGTCAACATGGACTTCGTTGCTGGCTTCAGAAAACTTACAGGGACGAGATAACATCAACAAATAGCTCATTTTGCTGCATGCTTTGGGAAATTTCTACAGGTTAATTTGTTGGATCCAGTAGTCTACAGACCTGAATAAACAGTTCCCTAATTAAGCAACAGTTTATGTATCAACGGACTCATATCAGCTTCCTCTCTTTGCTGTGCCTATCAATTCTAAATATGACTTTATAAATATACCTAATTCCGATCAGTTCTCACCTTTGAAGGACCCATCTTAAACCAGATCAGTCCAGAATCTCATTTCTAACACCTCTCTGTGGAAACACAGCAGAGACTTACAGTAGCATTCCTCTTTGTGGCAGGGAACTCAGATGTACTTCATTGCATCTTAAAGATTTTCTGGGCCAGGCGAGGTGGCTCACGCCTGTAATCCCAGCACTTTGGGAGGCTGAGATGGGTGGATCACGATGTCAAGAGATCAAGACCATCCTGGTCAACATGGTGAAACCCCGTCTCTACTAAAAATACAAAAAATTAGCTGGGCATTGTGCCACGTGCCTGTAATCCCAGCTACTCAGGAGGCTGAGGCAGGAGAATTGCCTGAACCCAGGACATGGAGGTTGCGGTGAGCTGAGATCGCGCCATTGCACTCAAGCCTGGGTAACAAGAGCAAAACTCTGTCTCAAAAAAAAAGATTTTCTGGTGATCTTAGAGGGTTTGCGTATTTGGCTAAGACCCAATCTTTGCCATTGTATATCCTCTGTTATTATGTACTCTGGACTGAGCATGTAATGTTTGTGCCCCTCCTTCAAATTCATATATTAAACTCCTAATTCCCAATGCAATGGTATTTGGAGACAAGGCCTTTTGGATGTAATTAGCTTATGAAAATGAAATCTTCATGTGGGAATCGGTGCCTTTATAAGGAAAGACACAAGATGGTTAGTGCTCTCTGCTATGTAAGGACACAGAGAGAAAGTGGTCATCTGAAAACCAGGATGAGAGCCATCTCTAAACACCAAAGAGTTCAGAACTTTGATCTGGTACTTTCCAGCCTCTGAAACTGTGACAAATAAATTTCTCTTGTTTGAGTCTCCCAGTCTATGGTATCTTAGTCTGAACTAAGACACCACAGATGTCTGAATGTTGGTTCTTTTTCTAGTGAAGACATTGGTGTGTTTTCTAGTAACCATCTTCTTCCCACCCCAGCCCACTCTGCCTTGAACCCCTGTACTGAATATTGCCCGACAGAGTTAGCGCACCCTTCCATGACTTCTCCCTGACTCCTCATCCACAGTTCCTGCCTGCTAGGGCTCCATCCCACTGAGCTTTCTTCTGCTAGGATCCATTAGTCCTGGAGGTGGCCTTCTTGGCCCATAGGAAACACACACTCACAGCACTGTCCATGGAAGTGTGATTTGGTCCTAGAGAAGGTGTCTTCCACTCAGCTAATTCTAATGGCTCCCTGCTTTTAGGGTATGCTATTCTAGTCTCACAGCTACAGGAGATACAGAAACGCTCAATTTTCTGCCTTGTCCTCTTGGTGGGCAAACAATTCTAGACACATGACATTTTCCTTTATTAGTGTGACACTTTTAGTAAATGCATCCTGTACTTACTATTGTTTGCATTAAGTAAACTTGTTTTCTTAGCTTCATGTGTTTCTTTTTTTCCTGCTAGAAAGAAAACTGAGTTTAGAGAGGATTTGAAACATATCTCATGTCTTGAGAGATTTATATCCCATCATAGAGCATTTGATCATATGATTGGGTTAGAAAATACTATTTCAGTTAGGCATTCATTGAACAAACATTTGAGTTCCTATAATATAAAATATTCTTTTCTTTCCATAGTTTTGCTCTGTCACCCAGGCTGGAGTACAGTGGCACAATCTCGACTCTCAATTCACTGCAAACTCTGCCTCCTGGGTTCAAACAATTCTCCTGTCTCAGCCTCCCAAGTAGCTGGGACTACAGGCTCTTGCCACCATGCCTGGCTAATTTTTGTATTTTTGGTAGAGACAGGGTTTCACCATATTGATTGGGCTGATCTCGAACTTCTGACTTCAGGTAACCTGTCTGCCTCAGCCTCCCAAAGTGATGGGATTACAGGCGTGAGCCACTGTGCCTAGCCAAAACATTCTTATTATAATGAAACTACTGTCTGTCATTCAGCCAGCCACCATACTCTCTACAAATGGGTCTCATCACCTTCTCTCCCTTGCCAAAGAGAGGGAAATGGTGTATATATGTGCATGTCTTTGTGTGTCATGAGGGTAGTACTATCCCACAAGAATGAAACTTATTTCAGAGTAAACTTCTTTCTCTTATAAATTTCTAAACTGCACTTTAGGGATAAAAGGCTCAGGAAAGCTGTAAAGCTGTCATGGCCACCTCTAATCATGGGGATGTGCCTAGGACTGGGAAGTATTGTCATTTACCAATATTTACCCTCAGCTTTGGAGACTCTACCAAATTTGTAGCTTATGTGAAAAGCACCCTGTAAAATTATTTTACATAACAATAAAAGAAAACTCATTATATAAGCTCAATAATGAGAAAGTGATATAAGTAACTATAATCCTATATGAAATACCATGGATATTCACAAATATAGAGTCAGGGTGAATAAAACCATAGTATCACAGAACAAACTTTTTTTTTATAGAGCTTTTCTTCTAGATGAGGAGTCAAAAAATGATGGCTGGTGGGACAAATCCAGCTATCACCTGTTTCTGTAGATGAAATTGATCAGAGCAGAGGCACAAGCATCTGTTTACATATGGCCTATTGTGGTTTTCATGCTACAGTGAAGAGTTTGTGGTTTAGAAAGAGACCATATGTCTCTTAAGGCCTTAAATATTCACCATCTGGACCCTTTCAGAAAAAAAAAAAGTTTGCCAAACTTTGCTTTAACATGATGGAACTTGTTCCAAAATTTTACCATAATGCTGAAATTTCTGGTAACTACAATAAAGGTACATCAGTTAATTCTTCTCAGTTGTTTTCCCTGACTTTATCTATACTTTGGAGGAGCATCAACTGGAGTCTCAACATCAGTATAAATGGCTTCTGCGTTCTTTTAAAATTTGAAATGAACAGACACCAACAAAGTATTTCACAGATAATCAAAGTTTCTCCATTTGACTGAGAGTGTTGACTGTAAATCCTAGTGCAAGAGCAGAAAAAGATTTCTGTATCAGCTCAGGTAGCCAGGCAGAAAGAAAAAGGGACAAATTCCTCCTTCCTCTGCCTTTTGTTCTGTTATGGCCCCCAATAGATGGGATGAAGCCTATCCAGTTTGGAAAAGGTAATCTACTGAATCCACTGATTTAAATGCTAATCTCATCCAGAAACACTCTCACAGAGACCCCGAAATGATGTTTAACCAGATACCTGGGCATCCTCTGATCCAGTCAAGTTGACACAAAATATTAACTACAGCAATCATTCTAACTAAAGTTATAGCTTTGTGTATAATTTTGTTGGTGTGTGTGTTAACTATATTGTTTCTTATTTTAAATTACACCCTCCAGGACCTAGCATAAACTGCGGCACATGGCAGGTCCAAATAATACTTATTTAAATGAATTTGCTTTCTTGTATTTGAAATATAAACTCTTTGAGTAGGTGATTGTCAGCATGCAATGTTTGGTAGAAACAGCTGAAGAGGTTCATAGTAAAGTGCTCATGTAATGAACTAAATTGAAATGTTGAGATGAAGGGTAAAGCCTGTGATATCAGCTATAAAGCTTCAGAATGAAGAAACACAGTTCACAATTCATTTTACCACTGCAGGTAGATACTAAATTCAGTTCTCTGTTGAGGAACACACAGAATAAGTCACACAAATTGAAGAAAGCTCTTGGAAGGCCCAAGGGATAATAAAACAGAGCCTATAACCTAGCAATTAGTCTTGATTATTTGAAATAGAGTGAAGAGATCATCTAATTCTTACCATTATCTCTTAGTCCATGATGATCCTGAGTGGGTGTGATCTCAAGAGATAATGTAGGCATTTTAGAAGCTTGTCACAAAAATGTCATATTTTTATCCATTACAATTGTACAGGTCATTATAAGGTAAACACAATCAAACCTATTATGTCCACATGCCAGAGCAGAAAAATACTTGCTAAGTGGGTAGCCAGCCATTATTTTAGATTTAAGAAGTATAAATATATTGATTCAGCAGTCATCCATAGCACCTTATGCATTCATGGAGTAATATAATATTGCATCCATATTGTTCTAGCTCCATCCCAAATGGGGTCTAGCATCCGCTGTCCAGAACTATCCCACACAGTTCATTTCTAAAATACCCATCTAAAGCAGTGGTTCTATACAGAAGATAATTTGCCCCAGGGAGACAAATGGCAATGTTTGGCGACATTTTTCATTGTCATAAACCGGGGGCTGCTGCTGACATCTAAAGGGAAGAGTCCAGGGGATGTTG